GGTATGGATATTCTCTGAAACTGCACATTGTAATTTTTTATGAATATAAAATCTCATTCTTTATAAACATTCCTGACCTGAGAAATGATGTTACTAGACTTACCAAGTGAGCCAACCTCTTTTTTTACTCCAGTGCTCTTGAACAACTTTTTATCTTTGACCAAGGGAGAGTTTCTGCCTGATCCAGGTCCCTTCTCACTGGCACTGCTTCCAACACTAGCAACATCTACAATAAGAGAAGATTCATATCACAATAATTATTATCATTTATCTGAACTTCTCAACCCATAATCTGGTTCTCAGGTGCTGCTCTAGTGCTCAATCGCTTCAAATATACAGTTCTTTTTTGTATCCTGAAGTGCAGCTCTTATATTGAATTGAATGGCAGTAATATTAATCAACATAACTGTAATATTAATAAATAGTAATATTAATTAATGCAATTAATGACTGTAGTAATATTTCCAACATCCCATGCAGTGCTTATTCAAGACGGATGCTTCAAGAAGTAAATATGGTTTACTGCTAGTCATGAGTTGATCATGTCCTGTCTTTTTTATTTGTTTCTAAAAACCAGAAAATGAGTTATTTCAATCGCTGTTGAGAATGTTAAAAGTTTAAGACAGGCACACGCTGGTGGGAAGTTATACAAGTACCACTGAGGTACAGGAGACTAGCTGGAGCTTTCCACATTGACTTCATAACATGTCTGACCAATGTGTGAAACCTGTCAAATGCTTCACCCCTGTTACCCTGTCAGACAGTGATTTCCTTCTATTGGAGATGCCAACCTTAACAGTTTGGAATCCGGGAGATTGCCAATTTTACCATCTTGGTCCTAAAAAATAAGATGTTCAGAGTGGAGCTCTGCCAATTCAACCACAAAAATGCATCAAATATCAAAAAAAAATTTCCCAAGAAATGTCAAAAATCAGCAAAATGTCTGAAAAAAATTATTTTATTTTTTTTCCTATGTTTGGTCTATGAGATTTATTGACCTGTATGAGAGACCAAGAGATTTGGTCTAGGATAATCCAGGAGACTTGGCATGGACGTTCTCTTTCTGTTCAGTGAGAGACAAGAAGAAACCTAACTGCTCATATTGAATCAATCATTTTACTGGCCACTGTCCATGTTTCTCCCCAAGCAAAAAGAGAAGGGAATCTCTGTCTTGCAGGGTAGACTCCTGGGATCATGTGCACTAAAGACATTT